GAGCTATTTGCCATTTACTTGATAGTCAGTGTGTGACAACAGGGGACTAGACTTCTTTCATAAAGTACTATGTCTATACACCAATCACACGCATGTGGGCCAATATGAGGTTAGTAAAAATGAGCAATACTTTCATACTTGTGTAGTACAATTAATGAACCATTGACTAAGGATGAAGAGAAAAAGGTATAACATTCAGTTGGTGGATATAAACATAACTGAGAAAATAAATACATGAAGTAATATAAATTGCCTTTAAAACAATAAAGTGCAAATAGATACTAGCATATTGTTTATAGTAACTTAACCTTGGTTAGAATAAATTTTGCTCCCACTAAAAAAAACCTTGTATGATTCCATTACTTTCCCTTTAAAAAAAGAAAAGAACATTCCAGTATCAGAAAAAGCTGGTTTCGGGGAAACCTCGCCTATTTTCCAAAGAGCAAATAGCATGGATATTGTACAATGAAGAATCTTCTTTAATGGTTGTGCTATGGAAACAGTAAAAAAAGGACCATCTCATATAATGTACTGCAGCAACAACAACAATGTTGCTTATAATTTATTCTCCATGTACTCACATTTCCCTAGGTTTTTTTTTTTTTTTTTTTTGCTTCCTTTTTGCAGTCATTTCCTCTGTAGGTTCGGAAAGCACTAGTATGGTCTTGCTTAGCTTATCTTAACTTGCCAAATGCAACCTTATATATGTTTTACAGCAACAGGGTATGCTGTAGTTGTACATTCTAAAAACAAAATTATAAGTAACAAAAATAAAATCATTATAACAAAATGCTTGTGTTAATTCTGTGTTTTAGTTTAATGCGTCCTTCACATGCATTGATAAAAATTCCTTTTGCATGTTCTCAGTGTGAAAGATTAATAATGATGAATCTTATTCAGCAAAATTTATGAGTTCTTATAACATGTCTCAGTACAATTGCAGTCTAAATCCAGAGTTAAGCTAGATCCTCTGATGCATGTAGATCTAGTTCTAGAATCTGATTCCAGATTTGTATTTCCATTGTAGTTTCTGACTTCTGAAAGGCTAAATGAAAGTTTACAATCATATTTGAATGAACTGAACCCAAAGCATCCATATATTAGTTACTGATTTGGTTCCAAAAGTTGCATTATTGGTGATGGAACATATATACATTGAGAGGTAGATTGGAAATAGAAGGACCAGATTCCTTTTCTAAATTTAATTCAACTATCATTCTGTTGAAAAATAAATGGTAACCATAAGTCTTGCAAACTTCAGTAACCCTGTCAATAGCTGGGAAAATCTCAAATTATTATAAATTTTTTTCTTTTCATGTGTAAATCTACAACTAATGCTAGGTTGTGCTTTAGAAGATTAACATAGAGAAATGCCTTTAGCATGGACAAATATTGCTGAGTTCAATGTATAAACTTAGACAGGAATCCCTAAAAACAAAGAAACTATCCATATATTAGAACACATTTATATTAACCCTACTGTGCAATTAATGGCCATACTATTGAGGTTATGTAAGACAGTTTTATGAGGATAAGTACTGAAGGAATTAGAGGCATTCCAGTATGCATAAGTAAATAGCATATACTAACCCTATAATAATGGTCAGAATGCTTTTGAATTTGAATTTCTTGCCCAGGATGACAGTACTCAATACTGCTAGTGCAGTGGGAAGGTAGTGCCTGCTAGTAGAGCTGGAAGGTATCAATTGCTACCATTTCCAGACTGGGGTGTGCCAGTGGTGGCTGTGGAAGGGAGCTCTCTCAACTTGTCCCATTCTGGCAATTGTAACTTGTGTAGTTTCTTGGGCTGCACTAGTAGACAATATTTTTCCCGTTGTGCTAGTGGTCATTCTGGCAAGCACAAGATGTGTAGAGCTGGTAAGTTGTGAACTTTGGATCCAGCCTTCTCCTTCCTTAAAATAATTTAATACCTACATTATGAAAATAAGTTAGACCTATTGTCCTGATTGCCCCCATGAGGCACCTCCACAAGTACAACAGGCTTTCACTGCTATGTTTATCCTCCAGTACATGAGGGCAATAAGGATATTTGAGAGACTTGCACCATTCAGAGTTGTTGGGGTTTTAAAGACAGATTTACCCCGTTTGCACTTCCTGGTTTGTAATGTGTTCTCAAACTACAAATTACAACTAGAAATCTGTATATTTCTGAGCTTTCAACATGTTATGCAAAACAGAACAAAACTATGTTGACAATACGTACATGTTTGACAAATGAACACATTTCTAAAATACAAATATACTTGAGTCAATAAGTGCTTGTGTCGAAACATGTAAGTTTGAAACACACAAAATGTGCACAGTTACGTGTATATTATGACAGATGCATACACATTTGCATGGATTTTTGAAAAATATTATGTAAAAAAGTAACAGTTCTCAAAGACTGCCAAAGGTACTTATACTGTGAAAGGTTCAATGGCTGCCTAGGGCCCCAAAAGCATCTGAATAAACATGCCTGTTGTCAACAGTATAAAGTCAACTGGCCATTTTTGTGCAGCTTTTTTGGATTATTTGTGTCTCTTTCATAACAAATTATGAAATATATAAGTTTCATATATAAGTTAGAAATAGTGATGTGAACTAACAGTTAACAACCGTAAGATAAATGAGTTGTATAGTATCAGTACCTTGGCTATCCACTTCACTTCAATTAAAAAGATTAGCTTTACTCCATAAATTACATGATTATTCCCGTCTAGTAGCTAATGGAAGATTTATAGTAATGTACTCCTCATAAAATAACGATTAGTTTCTCCTTAAAGATATAAACTTCACCTTAGACTCTCTTAATCATTTGTAATTGTTCTGATTATTGTTCTTATCTAGTCCTTTTCCTCCTTTCGAACCAAATAGAATTGCTTTGGATTTGTTTTTTACTTCAGATCATAGAATTGGAGCTAGACTAAATAAGCTGAATTGAAACCCTTTGAAATCCATGGAACTAGAACATTGCTTAAGATATCCAATTTATTTCAATTGAATCCAACAGCAGGTAACTTAGGGTACTTCTAGATGAGGACTTTATCATGTAATTGATCTGCCTCATTCATGGAATGCAATCAATGTAACCCTCCTAAGTTTTCCCATTGCTTCCTCCATCTTTTTTCTTTCCACAGAAAGCAAAAACATTAAAGAAGGATACAGTGGTGGCATATGCAGCCTTCTGTTTGGAAGTACCCTTAGTTTGGATCCAACCTATAGTTTGCCCTATATTTGCATTTTTCAATCTGTCAGTCTCTTCTAAGGGCACAATCCTATCAGACCTAGAGGGGCAACCTGGAGTCCATATAATATTGTAGACCTTCCTGTCTGTGCACTGAGAGGGAGGTCTGCAGGGGTAGAAGAAGGTTGACTGCTAGACACACCGTTACCATCACTGGAGGAAGGATTCAAAATTCTCTCATAAGAGATCTGAGAGGATTCAAAATTCTCTCTTAAGAGATTTTACACACATGCAATATCATACTCCACTTTGGGGCTGTACTTTGGCATAATTTAGAGTGTTGTGTCATGACATCAGACACCACCATATTATGTAAAACTTCCTGCTTCATTATTTCTACATGTTCTTTGTATGTAATGCTTACCCACATCACCAATCAGTATATGAAGGAGAGAGAGAGAATCAGTAAATGGGGGTGATACAGCCTGTGTGGCTGTTTTTTGGAACATTATTGCACTATGAAAGAGTACAATTGCCAACTTTCCCCAAAGGGTTAAAGTGACATGATCACTTTTCCTCCTGAAAGAAAAGAGTTTGATCAGTTTAGGATATCAGATAAACCAAAGTTTAAATGGTGGCTGTGCATGCTCTGTAATCTGTTCCCTGATAAGAAATACATTTAACAGCAATCCATGCTTGGCACAAAGCTGAGCAGAGCTTTTTTATTCTTAATATTTGTTTGTTTGTTACAAACAAACAAACTCTGTTACAAACAGAGTGGGGCCCTGGCCCCACTCTGCCTCAGCCTGTCTGCCCCGGGCTCAGCCATGTGAGCACGGCTTACTTGGAGAAAGGCACAGAGGGAGCGCAGGAGCCCCACGGCTTTCTCTGAGTAAGCTGCTCCGCCTCAGCCTGTCCGCCCAGGGCTCAGTGAGGCAGCCGTGGCTTACTTGGAGAAGGCCTGCAGCCCAGGGACGTGGCTCACATAATTAAAAATAGATTTTAAAAGTTATATTTTTCATACATTTGATCCTTTTTTAGTTTCTTCTTCGTCGTCTCTCTCTTCCGCCCTTCTCTCTTCTGTTTCCCACTCTGCATATGCGTGCAATGGGGTGGGGGTGAGAGCTGGCGCATGCATAGTTGAGCTGTTGCAATTTGGCACATGCGCCGGCCCTCTGCTCAGTTTCAAATAATGCCTGCGCCGGCTCAGAGCTTTCGGACTTGCTCACAGATCGTTTTCTCTGAGCGAGTCCAAAACCTCTGAGGCGGGCCGAATAAATGAGCATAGCAGGCCGAATCCATCGTTTAATTATTGAATTTGTTTGGAAGCCACTCATCAGTATCATGTTTTCTGGAAGGCCATTACAAAAGTAAATAATACCTTCTTTCCCAAAAAGCCATTTTGCCTTATTGCTGGTAATCAATGTCTTCTTCACATTCCCTCACTGGTTTATATTCTTGTAGGCTTCCTGGGTTTCATCACATGATGTTATATATCTAACTAAAATTGAAGAGGGAATTTTTGGTTGGTTCTCTTAATTTACCTCAATTGCTGGAGTAAATTATGTTTACCTTCCGATAGATGGGAAACTTCCTTTTGTACAGAAAACTATAACTTCTGGGTAAAGGAAAAAGATGGAAACCTATTTGACGTATGCTTTACATGGTGATTAGCTGCCTGTTTGCTTCTAAGATCACTATCAGAGGACTGTTCAGCTTTAGTTTTGATAAAACTGTTAAAATGTATAAAAAGTGCATTGCTGCCAAATATCTGTTTGGCTATTCTGATTTTTTGCTTTTCTTGTTTTTGTAGGGGTTGTGTGCACAGACCTTCTGTGGTCACTTGCATTCCTGCAATCATGCTACATTCAACATGAAGGTAACAAATAAACCCTAAAATTTGCAGATTTATGTGTGTGTAGTACTCAGCAAGGTGTGATGGTGCTCTCTGATGCCATGGCGCCTCATTCCGTGCATTCCATTTAGACAGTCAGTTTTGACTATCTAAATGAAGTGCGAGGGAGAAAGGGAAGGAGACCGGGGCACCAATAAGAACTGGCAGAAGCTGTTAGCCCCAGCCACCTTCTGTCCTTGCCCCATGGCCTCCCTGAGACCCAGTTGCATCCTCAGAGAAGAAGCCAGCACGGTTTTTTTCCCTACCAACTGGGAGTCCACACTGGAATCCAAGCTCCAGTGTCAACCTCAGAAATAAGATTCCAAATAATCCTGTGCCCCTCACTGATGGTACTGGGAAGCCACAGAATTGGAACCTTGCTAAAATTATAACTGACTACGTTATGCTCAAGGATCCCTTGCATGGATCCTTATATTTTATGCTAATAGAGAAATTGAGGGTAAATCAGTTAAAGTGGACAGAATATTTCCAATTTAGTGATTCCATAAGGGGAGGTGATGCCCCCTCACCCAAAAATATTTTTTGTGACTGTTCAAAAATATGTGCCCTCATCTGTATTTGAACCCCCTGCTTTGTTGATTTAACAGTGTCACTAAACTATGTGGAGGATGCACCAAAGTTGCCCCTCCATGGACCTCCGTGTGTCTAATACTGTCTATTTTGGCCATCTCCTTGGACCTCATGACTGGCCCTTAAGTGCCCAAGGTCAATATCAGGCAAGTTAAACTAAGTCCTGTTCTAAACACCCTTCAACTATGAGGGTCCCAGAACTGTTGGGTGCCAAAACTGTTACCGAACTCAGCCAGTCAACAGCTAGGGCAAACCTGGGTGGACCCCAGGCCTGAGCCAAAAGGAGCCTGTGATGAGACTTAGAGCCAGAAGTGAAACAGAAAAAGTTAACTAGTCAGATTGAATCCAAAACTGAAAGTGGAACCCTTGTTGGCTCCAAGAGAATTGACTAGACCTCAGTTCCACAATAACCTGCTGACCCTGGTATTGGAGAAATTCAGTATTCCAAATTACCACAATTCACAAAATGATCTCTAGTGCCTGAGTGCTATTTCTGGCAATGAATCTCCTCAACACTTCTCCCTGAAACCATGTTGTTGTTATGAGCATATTTTTCTAACTTTTTTCCTTTCCAGCAGATAAATGAAAAGCTTACAAATTATTGTCCTTAATTGGAGATGCACAGGTTTTGTTGTGATACAGGACTCTATATATGAGATATAAATCATAGTAATGATTTCTCTAAGCTGTGGGAGTAGATTCTGCCTATGTGAAGAGCGGATTCCAAACTGAAGAAGTCCCCCTTCCCTTCCTTTTCTTAGAATCATGATTCCACCCTCAGGGTTGTTGATGCTGCTTCAGGAACACCCAACATTATGTCAGTGTGCTATGTCCCTTTGGCCTGGTACTTCCTCACTGGGTCTAGGAATTCATTCTCCCCCACTACCCCCATTCCAGACTGTCCTCCCCAGTATCCAAGATTGTTTGGTTCTCAGACATTCTCTGAATAATCTTTCTTGTTAAACTTGACTATTTGGGGTCACCTGCCAACTCCTCCCCTTCTGCCCAGTTTATGTCACATTCCAGATTTGAACTGTCTAGCTGGGAATGCTGTATTGTAAGGAATCTGGGCCCCATCTCCACAGTAACATACAACACCACCAATCTGTTTGCATGTCCTGGTCATCTTGTCCTGTCCTGTGACATCAGCCTCCTCATAAGCTTTCCTAAGATACCAGCCTGATAGGCCAAGAGACAACTATGCTCATCACCAAGATGATACTTCTACAAAGATAACAATCACCCCATTTATTATTGGCACTGACATCCTAGCTTCCCCTACCTGATAAGTTCAATGTCTCCATCACACATGATTTCCAAGACTCTTGAAAGGGTGCCTTCCAAAGATTCCACTCCTGCAAGTCAATTGCCTTGCTTCTTGATCTTCAGTTACCACATCCAGGCTACTTTTTTCTAATGGTGGCCCTAAAAAGCTTCTGGGTCTAGTCACCTTTACCTAGTCTGCATCAATCATTCAAATTGCACAACCTTCCCAACCTCCAAACAACCAAACACCAATCAATGACCCATCATCAGCACAGGAAGGCTGTGGGGGACCAGAATCCATTCTTCTCTTCCAATGATATCAGACCTTACCCTGAGCATATTTTGAGGATGGCTTAGTCACTTGACCTTGATATTAAGCTAGCACTGCCTCCTATTACCAACCTAGTCTGTAGCAGAGTTCATACTAATGCAGCATCATAGGTTTCAGTTTCAATGATGCTGACTCTAATCCATCCAATTAAAGCAATCATGGACTAAGTCTTCCTGTATACCACCAACTTCTTGGAAATTCTTTATAGGATCCATGAAAAAAATGCAGCATCAAAGTACATTATAGCGACAGCTTTACTGCCAAAATCAAAAGACAAGACTCATTCCTCCTCCACAGACACAGAGGAAGTAAAACTCAAGCCACTGCGCTGCTGCCTTATCGTTACAGATTGCCAGTGACCAAGCATGCATGTCAGCAATCAACAGATTCTGTGGAATAAGATGGCTCCTCTTTTCAACCGCCTCCCTGAAGACACTGAAAAACTCACTACCATTTCTCAGCCAGGGACATATTCACTAGCAAGTCACCAAAGCAATGCCTCAAGGTGTATGGTGGCAGCCATCTGCTTTATGAGACATGCATGGCTCTGCACCTCCAGATGCCAGGGAGTGAAAACAAGGATGGAAGCCTTCCCATTTGACAGGGTTGGATTATTTAATTCCTCCACAGATTACTTGATCAGGCTCATAAACTGAGAACATCAGCTTGTCTAATGACAATTGCTTCCCAGCCTTCACTCACTGCCATTGTCAATGGTCACAACATAAACACTACAATTTTGCTTTAAACAGGACAACTGATGAAGCCCCTACTCTTATTTATTTATTTATCTATCTATTTCAAGCTTTTATAGAATGTCACAATAGCCACATGGCTCTCTGGTCTACAACAATTAAAGACAGTGCCAAGCAATACACAGAAATCCATAAACATTGTCAACAAATTCAATAAATAAAGCATCAGTTCCATCAGAAGGAACATCAACCATGTTGACCTCATACAGTGACCAAATTGGACACATCTTATATTTAAATAGCTATTAAAATTTTAAAATTCATAAATTAAAATACCAACCTAATATTATAATTTAAATTTGAATTAAAACTATCAGCAGTTAAAATACTCCAAAAATAAAAAAGTATTTTCCTTGGCACCAAAAAGTGTACAAGGAAGGCTCCTGGTGCACAACTTTGAGGATCCAGTTTCACAAATGGGGCCCTACACTGGGTAGCCACCTTCCTCACATCCTTTAAAGGCAGCTCCCAAAACAGGATCTCTGATTAAGATCTTGGGGTGTAGGTAGGCTTATATGGATTGAGATGTTTCTTTAGAAATCCAGGTTCTAAACTGTCTAGGGCTATATATGTTAAAATGAGCACCTTGAAGTTGGCTCAGACTTCGCTCAGCAGCCAGTACAACTTATGGAGGACTGGTGTTATATGTTTACTGCTACCAGACCTTGTGAGCAGTCATGCTGCTCTATTTTGCACCAATTGAAGCTTCCAGACCATTTTCAAGGAAACCACAACATAAACTGGATCACAGTTGTCCAATCAAGAGGTTACCTTACTGTTGCTAGGTTCCACCTGTCCAGATAAGGTTGAAGTTGACAAATTAATTGGAGCTAGTAAAAGGTGCCGCAGAGCCCTTATGGTACTCCAGAAGTACCCCATGCTCCAGATCCTATCCTGTAGGGAGACCGCAACCCTTTCCAAGACAGGTCAAATATCTCCCATCTAGACATGGGACCCACCTATCAACAGCACCTCCATCTTGTCTGGATTAAGCATCAATCTATTGACTGATCACTCCAGTCAGGCACTAATTCACAAACATCACTGCCTCACCTGGATTAGATGAGAAGGAGAGGTAGAACTGAGTGTCATCAGTGTACTTGAGCTCATAGTACACAAGAGCAATGATCTTACAGTAATAACGGAAACTTGGTGGGATGACTCACATGACTGGAACGCTACAATTGATGGCTACAACCGGTTGAAGAAAAATAGAAAGGACAAAAAGGGAGGTGGAGTTGCACTGTATGTGAGAGATACATACTGTATATCTGCACAGAGAAACAAGAAGAGGAACTTAGTAGCCCCACTGAAAGCATATGGCTAAATTTAAAGGGAGCAAAAAATAAGAACAACATACATAGTTATTGGCATATATTATGGTCCACTCAGTCAAAAAGAGGACAAGGATGCAACCTCTGAAAAGCAACTTGCCAGCATTTCCAAGAAGAATGATGTAGTCATTATGGGGGACTTCAATTTCATTGATGTAGGCATGTCGTGAGTGGAGCTGGCTAGAGCTGGGGGTCAGTCTAGATGGCCCAGGAGACCCCTTCTGACTCGCTCTGTTTCTATAATATATGCTGGGAGACAAATTCTGCCAAGCATGGTCCCTCCAAGAGATTCCTGACATGTGTTGTCAACAACTGTCTTCAGCAGAAAGTAGAGGAAGGTATGAGAGGATCGGCTATCCTTGATTTAATACTAACAGGGATGGCCTGGTGGACAAAATAACAACCATGAGAACTCTGGGGGAAAGTGAACCTGCAATACTTGAATTCTCAATTATGAAGAAGACAAAGCATCAGGAGACACTGGAGCCAAACAAGCATCCTGGACTTCAAGAAAAGCAACTTTAACAAAATCAGAAAAATGATGAGCAAGGTGCCATGGCAACACACCCTTAAGGGGAAAGGTGTCCAAGACAGATGGGAAATCTTGAAAAGGAAGATTCTCGAAGCACAACTATGAATAATTCCATCAAGAAAAATGTGTAGAACAAATCGGGTACTTTTTATCATATGTGGTGGACCTGTGATAAG